AGACAAATCAGATGACATCAAACTCAAAAGATTCTGCATAGCAAAGGAAACAATCAACAATCTAAAAAAAACAACCTACAGAAAAAATGAAAATATTTGCAAACTATTCATCTGATGGGAGATTCATATCCAGATTACAAAAGGAACTCAAATATCTCAAGAGCAAAAAACCAATTTGCTTAAAAAACAGGCCAACGATTTGAACAGACATTTCTGAAAAGACATACACAACAAATGACATGGCCAACAAATACATGAAGAAATGCTTAACATCATTAATCATCAGGGAAATGCAAATAGAAACCACAGTGAGGTATCATCTCACCCCAGTTAGGATGTCTATTTTCAGAAAAACAAAAAATAATAAATGCTGGTGAGGATGCAAAGAAAAGGGAACTTTTATACACCATTGGTGAGAATGTAAACTAGTACAGCCAATATTGAGGAAAGTACAAAGGTTCCCCAAAAAACACTACAAATAGCACTACCATATGGTCCAGCAATCACACTACTAATAATTTATATAAAGGAAAGGAAATCATTACATCAGAGAGACACCTGAACCCCTGTATTTATTGTTGTACTATTCACAATAACTATGATACGGATCAACTTAGGTCCAACAACAGATGAATGGATAACGAATATGTGTATATATACACAATGGAATACTTTTTAGCCATTAAAAAAAACAAAAAGAAATCCTGTCATTCACAGCAACATGGATGGAACTGGAAGAAGTTATGTTAAATGAAGTAAGCCAGGAGAGGAAAGTTAAACACCATGCGTTTTCACTCATCTATGGAAGCCAAGAAAAGCAAATCTTATAGAAGTCAAAAGTAGAAGAGAGGATAGGGTAGGAAGGGTAGGAGGAAAGGAAGGCTAGGTAGAGATTTAATAACGAATACAAAATTATAAGAAGATGGGAGGCATAAGTTATAGTGTTGTACTATCATTGTTCTGTAACTATAGGATGACTGTAATTAACAATAATAGTTTCCAATAGCTAGAAGGAGGATACTGGATGTTCCCAACACAAATAAATGATAAATGCTTCAGATGATTGATATGCTAATTACTCTGATTTGATCAGTATATATTATATGTATCAAAATATCACTATATTCCCCATCAGTGTATAATTATTATGAGTCAGTTTAAAAATAAAGTATAAAAAAGGTTAATTACTACTTAAAATGTTTATTTTATGAAATAAATGTTTTCAGCTATTTAAGCCAGACTTACACAAGAAGGAAAGATTGTTAGAAAACTGAAATGCAGTATCACATTAGAAGCAAATGATAGAACTGGCAGTAAAGAAACTCATATTGGCCATATGGTAGAATGCTTACAGAAGGCAAAAAAAAAAACAAAAACAAAAACATGAATAAAGATGGTAGGCCATAGACAAATGAAAACAAAGATTTAAGAACTGAATATTCTAATATTGGATATTCATTTTCTCTAATCCTAAGAAAAAATGAAAGAGAACATTCAAAAATAAGAGAATATTATTTAGTGAAGAATATCTCTAAATTTATACGAAAACAATATACAGAATATCAGAGAATTTTTCATTCTTAGACATAGTCTATGAATAACTAATGCAATAAGAAAAGAAAATAAATAAAAGGTATAGAGATAGGAAAGAAATAATTAAACTTGTCTTTGCTCACAGATAACAAAATTGTCTAAGTAAAAAATCCCAAAGAATTGAAAAAAAAAACCTCCTGGAATTGAGAAGCAATTATAGTAAAGTTGCAGAATACAAGGTAATCTATAAAAGCCAAGTGTTTAGCCATCTACTAGCAATGAACACCTTAGAAAAGGAAAGTTTAAAAACATAGTACTATTCACACTAGCACCAACAAATAAAAAAACTAATAAAATATGTATAAGATCTTTATTAAAGGAAACTATAAAAACTGATGAAATTCCTAAATAAAGAGATACTCCATGAATGGGAAGACTCAATATAGTTAAGATGTCCACTCCTCCTCACATGATATATAAATTCAATACAAAATCCCAGCAACTCAATACAAAGATTCTCAGAATTTGATGAGTCTGTACAAAGTAAATCTAAAGTTATTATGAAAAGGCAAAGTATCCAGACAGCCAACACAATGCTGTAGAAAAACAAAGTCAGAAGACTGACAGTAATTACCTTAAAGACTCATTAAAAATCTACAGTAATCAAAACAATGTGATATTGGCAAAAGAATGAATAAAGCAAGGGAATAGAAAGAGAACCTAAAAACAGACCCACACAAACACAGTCAACTGGTCTTCGACAAAGAAGCAAAGGCAATTCAATGGATGAAAGATACTCTTTCTCCAACTGGACATTCTTTTGCAAAAAAAAGAAAGAATCTAAATACAGACCTTACACCTTTCACAAAAAGCATCTCAAAATGAATCATAGACCTAGATGTAAAATGTAGAACCATAAAGCTTGTAAAAGTTACATAGGAAAAAATCTAGATGACCTTGGGTTTGGTGATAAAGCTTCAGATACAACACAAAAATCATAATCCATTATAGAAAAAACTAACAAGATTATTAAAATCAAAGACTTCAGCTGGGCACAGTGTTTCAGCTCTGTAATCCCAGCACTTTGGAAAGCTGAAGCAGGAGGATTGCTTGAGCTCAGGAGTTCACAGCCAGTCTGGGAAACAGGGAGATCCTCCATCTCTATAAAAAATTTAAAGAAAATTAGCCAGGTGTGATGGTGCATGCTTGTAATCCCAGGTATTCGGGAGGCTGAGGTGGGAGGGCTGCTTGTGCCCAAGAGGCCGAGGCTACAGTGAGCTGGGATCATGCCACTGCACTTCAGGCTGGGTGAAACAGTGAAAGAGTAAGACCTTATCTTGTAAGTAAAATAGATAAATAGATAGATAGATAACTATTCTACCAAAGACACTGTTAATAATAAGAAAAGACAAAACAAGATCCTGTCTCAAAAATAAGTAAATAAAAACTTCTACTCTGCCAAAGACAATGATTAATATTATGAAAAGAAAAGCCACAGACTGTAAGAAGATACTTGCAAAACAAAACTGAAATCAGAAATATAAAGAACTCTTAAAACCTATCAATAAGAAAACAAACAACCCAAACTAAAAATGGGCATGAGAGGCTGGGCGCGGTGGCTCAAGCCTGTAATCCCAGCACTTTGGGAGGCCAAGGCGGGTGGATCACAAGGTCAAGAGATCAAGACCATCCTGGTCAACATGGTAAAACCCCGTCTCTACTAAAAATACAAAAAAGTAGCTGGGCATGGTGGCACGTGCCTGTAATCTCAGCTACTCAGGAGGCTAAGGCAGGAGAATTGGCTGAACCCAGGAGGCGGAGGTTGCGGTGAGCCGAGATCGCGCCATTGCACTCCAGCCTGGGTAACAAGAGCAAACCTCCGTCTCAAAAAAAAAAAAAAAAAAAAAGGCATAAGATACCTCACCAAACATATACAGATGAAAAATAAGTGTATGAAAAAATACTTAACATCATGTCATTAGGAAATTACAAGTAAAAACAATGACATCAACATGTACTTATTAGAATGGTTAAAATAAAAAAAAAAACTTAATTTCGTTTCTTAAATTTAAAAATTTTGAAATTTAAAATCATTCCACATAGTCTCTTGTGAAAACTACCCAAAATAACAGTGAATTCAAGTGCAAAGAAAAAGCATAATAAAAAAAACAAGAAGTAGTGATTATAGAAGCTGAGTATGAGGACTAAATTAAATTCAACACAGATTTGAAACTAAAAAAATTACTGTAAATATGATTATAATTGTGAAAATTTGTGAAATATTAAAATAAATTATCCAGATATAGATTTTCAATTTATGTACTTTAAACAATATTCGAAATGAGTGATAACAGTAAAATCCTAATGTACTCATCTTAATAATGTAATTTCAGGCCAGGCGCGGTGGCTCAAGCCTGTAATCCCAGCACTTTGGGAGGCCGAGGCAGGTGGATCACGAGGTCAAAATATCGAGACCATCCTGGTCAACATGGTGAAACCCTGTCTCTACTAAAAATACAAAAAATTAGCTGGGCATGGTGGCGCGTGCCTGTAATCCCAGCTACTCAGGAGGCTGAGGCAGGAGAATTGCCTGAACCCAGGAGGCAGAGGTTGCGGTGAGCCAAGATCGCGCCATTGCGCTCCACCCTGGGTAACGAGAATGAAACTGTGTCTCAAAAAATAAATAAATAAATAATGTAATTTCAATATATCTTGCTTAAAATGTTAAAAAATTTTACTTATCCATTTTTAAAGTACATTAGTCAAAAATGGAAATTTATTGCATAAAATACATGAGAACAGATTTTACACAGACTACTTATCATTGAAAGTAACTACTTTCAAGAGTTAACACCCATAATTTGTCTCCTATATTACATAAAGGATATGAAAGAAAAGAATAAGAGGAAATAAGATTTTTTTTTTTGAGGTAACTAAGCAAATACGATAAAGAGGGAAAGGAGACAAGAATTATATAAGATGTGAGCATGTACTGAAAAATTGTGTAAGTGCAAGTTAGGGTTAAACAATAAATAGTAATGATGTAGGAAAAATAAAAATGAATGATATGATAGTTCCCTAACCTATAACAAAAGGAAAAACCCTACCTTGCAGCATTGATGTAAAGAATAAATGAGAGAACACAGATAAAAAGACACATAGTACATGCTCAATAGATGCTAGTTTCTTTTTCTACTGGCAATCTCTACTTCTTTAAGGACAAAGACCAAGTTGGAACAAACATCAATTGACAATTTGTCACTAGGAGGACAAATAAGGGGAAAAAAAGTCTGCTATACTCAAGCATACCACCCTAATTTATAAAGTTTTACATGTCTTCTATGATTAAAAAAGAAAAAAACGAAAAGAGTAAAATGTTACAAATGATGAAATGAAAAACATTTTCAGTATCATATAAAATAAGAATCATCAGATGCCAACAAACACCACAAATCAACAGCTTTTACCATAGTTTTTCCTGATCCTCGGGGTCCAATAATGAGTACAGAGTTACTTTCTCCATGGATAGCAGTTCTTTTTAGCAGCTCACTTAAGTGTCTAAAATGACATAAATAGGATAAACTTTACAAAATGAAACTGGAATAATTTGTTAGGTTGTAGTTTTTAAAGGCGTATTTGAATATACACAGAAATTTCCTTCTTCTCTCCCTCTGGGCACTTGGCCTAGACTCTGAATGGTCCTAAACAGAAAAATACAAAACAAATAGTAGAGCAGTATTGATTCTCTGAAATCTTCAAGTGAAAAACGCAGTCAGTTTGGAATATATTGATTTTTATGATGGTAAGGGACAAGGGACAATAGTGGCAACTCTCAGGACCCTTTGATTCAAATCTCTTTTCCTACTAATACTTTGGACTTTTACTCCATAGCTGGCTGCTGGGTATTAAGGGCCAGATGGTTAGAATTCTCTTCATAGCATCAGGTAACAGAAACAAAACAAGATTGAAAGTTAAAGTGCTTTCTCATTATGGATATATTTGTATCTGCTCCTGCTTCATGATATGTGGTGTTTCCATAAACAAGGCGAAATTTTTTACTTCTATAAAAGGGTTTGTTAGCTTTATTTAATATAAAATTTGCTACAATAATTTTTGCAAACCTGGAAGGCATCTGTAAGTAGGTTCATAACAGTCAAAGGGACAACTAGACTTACTTGTACTGTACTTGCGCTCCAAACAGGTTACTATGTGGACTCTGATGACAAAATCTTTCACGTAAAATTCTTTGTACCTGATGAAAATAAAGTGAAAAAATATAAATAAAAATATTAGACATGAAATAAAAAATGAATGAGAAAGCACATTTACAATAGTCAGAATTAGGAATTAATGAATCAATTCAAGTCTCTCTAAATTCTTATCCTCTAGAGTTCTGACATCATTTTCGTAAGTTTTCAAATTAATGGTCTTCTTACCTATCTCAAGTACCATAGGAAGAATGAGAATTTAGTTAGGAAGGTTTCAACAAGAGGGAGAATCACTTACTTTAGCTATATTAGCGACTAAGGGCTGTTTTAACACATGTGAATGAGTTAAGAAAGAAAAATTATTATAAGGAGCTATACTTTGAGTTTACTTTAGAATGAGGACCTTAGACTTAGTCATGAAAAATTATGTCAAATAATCTAGCACAGTCTTTAAAAAGATGGACTATTAAAGTCATTCCTTTTTTGGATCTGCAGCTAATAAATAGGTCTTTCAGGGACAAAAGCCTTAGGGTGCTATCTCAGATTTGATCCCATGGACTGGAATTAAAAACCTCCAAGAATATTTGCTTCTCCCAGACTGATAGCATGGAACTAATCCTTCATGTATCAAAGAAATAAATTTGAGTTCTTATTCCATGTACAGAGGCTAAGAAAAGAAAATGACTCACTCGGAACAAAACAATCCATACTTGTTCATTATAAAGTAAGTTAAAGAATAAGGGCATTGACTCTAGAAGCTATTATATGAATTTTAAACATTAAGTCTTTCCTAAATTTTAATTTATTTATCTATAAAATAGGGACAATAACACCTTGTGGTAGGCCTGTTTTAAAGATTAAAAAAGGGGGCGGAGCACGGTGGCTCATGTCTGTAATCCCAACATTTTGAGAGGTTAAGATGGGCAGATTGCTTGAGGTTAGGGGTTCAAGACCAGCCTGGCCAACAAGGTTGAAATCTCTTCTCAACTAAAAATTCAAAAATTAGCTGGGCATGGTGGCAGGCACCTGTAATACCAGCTACTTGGGAGGCTGAGGCAGGAGTACTGCGTGAACCCAGGAGGCTGCAGTTGCAGTAAGCTGAGATTACACAACTGCATTCCAGCCAGGACGACAGAGCAAGACTTGGTCTCCAAAAAAAAAAAAAAAAAAGATTGAAAAAGGCAATTACCTATAACACAAGTAGGCTTTGTGCAGGTAATAGCTAATAGCTGTAAAATATATATACAAGAACATATATATATGCACTCAACTAATCATAATATGTATTCCTCTACCTAGATGAGATCAAAAGAAAAAACTCAATCCTTTCCTTAAAAAGAAAAAAACTCGTACACAAAACCTCATTAGAATCTCTTAATGGCAATAACTGTATGTAAAATATAAGCTAGATATAAAGGAATTAAACTTGTAGTGACTAGTTAGAAGGTTAACAAATCCCAAAGTGATCTGGCATGGAAGTTAAATAGGTATATACAAGTATTGAAATTAATTCAGCTGTACTTGAAGAATTCGAGCACTGTACATACAAAGGTACATAACAGCATATCTCAGTTAAATTTTTTGTTTTTTTAGAAATAGAGTTAAACAACTTCAAAAAGAAAGCCAAGTCTTATAAAGGAAAACAGTAACATTTAATTTTTGTTTAAAAACTAAATGTAGTTCAGGTCAAGCTAGATAAATACAAATGTCGGGGTAGAAATATCATGCTCAATTTCCTACTAGACTGTAAGCTTCTTAAGGAAGAGACATACAGAGAGATGCCCAGGCCTTGGAATACAGTATGCACTTCTGATAACATTAATTATAAAAACACTCAACAGACGAGGAACGTAACAGAACTTCCTCAACTTAATAAAGGGTATCTATGAAAAACATTTCAGCTAACATCATACATAATGGTGAAAGACTGAATGCTACCCCTCTAAGATGAAAACATGGACAAGAATGTCCATTCTTCCCATTCCTAATTCAACATTTTAAAGACAGTACAAGCCAGGGCAATTAGGCAACAAAAGGTGGTAAAAAGGCATCTAGATTGGAAAGAAAAAAGTAAAAGTTAGAATTCTAACTACCCAGGCTTAATAAGGATAAAATCAAATTGTAGTATAAAACACTAATATTAAAAAACACCAATATGAACTGACATAAAGGGTAGAGAACAATCATAACAACAATAAAATCTGTTGGTCCACATTTAATTTTGACAGAGTTTGGAAAATTCTGCTTCCAGATGATTTTTCTTATAAACTTGTACTGATATCTCCTTAAGGATAGAAAGAGTGATTCTTCCTATGTCCTAAAGAGAAAATTCAAGTTAAGACGATAACTATTTATCTGAACACCTTTACAGGGTAACAGGTCTTGAGATTAATGAAAATACATACTAACCTGTGAAAGGCATTCTGCGTGAATTAAGCTGTTACTCTTTGATTTACGACTGCTCATTTCAACAAATTCAAATCCTTTAAAAAATTAGCATAAATATTATAAACATAGTGACTTAAAGAGATTACTTAAGAATCTACTATTCTAGAATTAAAATAAATATAAGTTTTTAACTGTAAAAAATGATCAAACCTTAAGACCTTCCAAATCTTTAATGGCTTCATTTTGTCCACTCATACCACACTTCAGGCACACCTTGTTTTATTGTGCTTTGCTTTAATGTGCTTTGCTTTAATGTGCTTTGCAGACAGTGTTAATTTTTTTTTTTTAAACAAACTGAAGATTTGTAGCAACTCTGTGTCCAACTAGTTGATAAGCACCATTTTTCAAACACCATGTTTCCATTTTGTATCTGTCGGCATTTTTTAGCAATAAGGTATTTTAAAATTAAGTATGTACATTTTTTTAGACAGTACTATTGTACACTTAACTGACTAGTATATTGTAAATATAAATATATGCACTGAAAAAAGTCTTGTGTGATTCACTTTATTGTGGTATTTGCTTCACTGAAGTGGTCTGGAACTGAACCTGTAATACCTCCAAGCATGTATGTGGTTTTTAGAGCTACTCCACTCTTTCCATTAAATCTTCTATTCACTTTCCCTTTCTTTCTTTTTCTTTTTCTAACTTACATGCTTTCTTTATGTCCCACCCATCCATCCCCAGGATAATTTCTTATAGAAAAACCTCCCTTTCTTGCTCCATTCACCAACCACACCAAAAAAAAAAAAAAAAAAAAAAAAAAAAATCATTAAAGACTAGGCTAAATGCCTCTGTTTAAACGCTCATAAGTGCCTGTATTTCTCTTTCTTTATTATAGAATTATTTTAAACAAAATTGTCTAATTGCTAGTGTTTCCAAATTGAGAATTTTTTTATATTCCAAGCATTGTAGCATAATGCCCAAAATAAAGTTGGCAATGAATAACTGGAATGAAAAAATATATATACTAATAAAAAATATATAAATTTTGTAAAATTCTCCTCAAGAGTACCATACTCATAGACAAATCCCTTTGAGTATAACATCTAATTTTCTTAGCACTGATTTCCTATAGGAGTACTTTAACATTTAGGCAGTAACAGCTTAAGCAGTGTTTACTTAGGTATCAGGGATTGTTACAAATGCTTTGCATTTATCAACTCATTTAATCCTCAGAATTGCCCTATGGAATAAGCACTATTATAATCCTCCCTTAAGATCAGAAGACACGGAAAGGGTAAGTATCTTGACCAAAATCAAACAGTTTGTAATTAGAAGATCTGCGATTTAGATCAAGTTAACTACTTTTTTTTTTAAGTGTATTCTGGTCTCATCTAATCGCCAGAAGGAACACAGCTTTGCTGACACCCTGAATTTAGCCCAGTGAAAGCCATTTTGGAACTTTTTTACCATCAGAACTCATAAAACTCAAGAAAAGCTGACCTATCATCAAATCACCAATGATTGACATTATTATAATGTGAGAAAGAAGGCAGCAAGATGAAATAGGAGGATCTTCAGCTTGTGGAGGCTCAAATAGCAACAATAATTTCACAGCCAACACAGACAAAAAGTGTCTTTTTGTTAGCCTTGAGATTCAGGCAGGAGTTTATGAAATCCCAGTGGGGCCCAAGACCCGAGAAAATCAATTTGAGGGCAGATCTTTGTTCAAGTGACAGAATTCCCAATTGTGGTCCAGTCTCCAGACTTGGAAAGGGCCCTGTCCTCAAGGGCTTAGCTAGAACCTGACAGGACCTTGTTACCAGGGCCTGTAGCAGGAAGTGAACCCTATCTGGTCCCTTGGTAGACTGGACTTTTTCTAAGACCTAGGTCTGTACAGGAGATGAAGATATGCATAGAAAAAAGATCTGTTATCAGACGTGTAGATGGTGTGGCTTTCTCTTGGAACCTGGAAGGGCTCCTACTGTATCACTGAGTAGATACCTGAGCAGGCAGTATTGTCCTAGTCCTCAGTCACCAAAAGTCATCTGGCTCCAGGCTTCCTAATTGAAAATTAAATAATAGCATCCTCTTTCTTAGAAGAAAAGTGGTATTCTCAGCTGGATAAGATACCTTTTAGGAGTCTTTTCTGTCTAAAGTTTTATCTTTTTCCATTTACGTTTTAGTTTTCCTAATGAGTGTTATGAGAGGGAAAAACCTTTCTAGCAACACAAAATATCCTCAACGCTGGTTTATGATGCTCTTGACCATCAGCCAAAATCTGAAATCACAAGGAACTATGTAATAATTGTCTCCTAGAAAATAAGGCTAATTAAAATGTAAAAAAGAGAAAGGGCTTTTGCAGTATGTTTTATTTTGTAGAACTACATTAGTTTTCTTGCAGTATTGTTAGAATTAAAAGATATTTTTATCCACTTCATGAATTAAGAAAGCATTACTCAGGAAAGCTAAGTAGATGTCCACAGTTCCAAGGCAGGTATCTAATCTGCCTCTTTATATTAAATATAAATCAGGTAAGCTATTAAGATCATTCATTTTTTCTTCACTTATCATTCATAAAAGAAACAACAAGGTTATCATTCATAAAAGAAACAACAAACACTCCACTATTGTATCTACCTTATAACCTACATAAATTTTGACTGTAAATAAAGTTTTAGTCCAAAGGTTATTTTGACATCTCGCCCCTTCATGTAATGGTCATGTATCTACTACATAATAAATATTTCAAAGACAATTCTGACAGTACAGATGAGATAAGCTTCAGACATTTGCAAACTGCCTATCTGACAAAAGATCTGTATCTAAAACACATTCAAAACTCAATAATAAAAAAAGAAGCAATCAAATTAGAAAATGGGCAAAACACATAAGTAGACCTTTCACCAAAGAAGATATGCAGGTGGCAAATAAGCATATGGAATGATGGCTTTAGTTTTCAGCATTGCTTAAAGATGTATTTTCACTAAACTGAAAGAAAAATTTTTACTGGAATTACATTTAAAATGATACAGAAAATGAATACATTTTGAAAAAGGATTAAATAAAATGTTTATTCTACATAAACTGTAGTTAGTAAGACAATCTAGTAGCTACAAGTCAATGCCAGACCATCTCAATCTATTTAACCTAACTTTTCAGTGTTTACTTATTACGAGGCTCTGTGACAAGCACTATGGGGAAGATGACAAATATAAAATTTGGTATCTATCTTAAAAAAAACTTACAATAGGCCTGGCGTGGTGGCCCATGATTGTAATCCTAACACTTTGGGAGGCTGAGACAGGTGGATCACGAGGTCAAGAGATCAAGACCATCCTGGCCAACATGGGGAAACCCTGTCTCCACTAAAAATACAAAAATTGGCTGGGTGTGGTGGCATGCACTTATGGTCACAGCTACTTGGGAGGCTGAGGCAGGAGAATTGCTTGGACCCGGGAGGCATAGGTAGCAGTGAGCTAAGATCGTGCCACTGCACTCCAGCCTGGGAACAGAGCAAGAAGCCATCTGGAAAAAAAACAAAAACAAAAACAACCTTACAATTTGTTGGAATAATATATAGGTGTATGCATATGAGTACATATGTATCTCCCACAGATAAGGTAGGATTAGCATAAAGCAAGGGATAAACTCATACGGTTAGTAAAGAAAAAGACCTTAAAAAAGAAAAAAAAGAAAAAAACAGTACTACCTAAAGAAGTGGAAATGAACACATAGATTTTAAATGACCTGCCCAAGATGACACAGCTTACTTAATAGCAGTGGTAGCTGTTAGGTCTACTGATTCCCAATCAGGTTGGTTAGTCACAACTGGCATGAAAAAAAAAAACAAAAAACTGTGAATATCTGAAAAGTTATCAAACTAATCACTGGACTTTTCTTCAGGAGACAAAAAATAGCAGATGAATACATTCTGAAAGAACATGGTTAGTATAACAGATGTTCAAGACTGATAATTCACTTCTCTTTCAATGTTTATGTGAACAATCTGTATTTTTTGGTAGACATTCTTATTTTTAAGATCATAAAGTTTCTTCCCAACACCAAAAAGGAATACATGTTTAGTACAGAAACTTTGGAATTTCAATAAGGAATTGTGCAGATAAAATGGTACAAAATGGAATCAGAGAATCTTTCTCCTCTATTTAAAAAAGCAAAACAAAAAATTGTTAAACAGAAATATCTTAGTAGTACCTAAACGAATAAAGAGAACAAAACAAGGCCAGAATTCTAGAGGAGTTCTCCATGGCTTCTAATTTTAACCTCACTCTTAAAAGCTATATTGGCATGAATAAAATCTCCTAAATTCTCACCAATGTATCAAATATGAAAAGAAGAAAATCGATAAAAATCCTAATCCAATTTTTTAGCCTTTTCAAGCCTAGGAAAAGAATTCGTTGGGCTTCCAGGCTGAAAACCACCTACAAGGGAGAAAAAAATGCTAAAATATGGTGTGATAATATGTATAAAGTTCTGAGAGAGAGACCAAGCAAAGATGCCACTCACATATAAAGGTAACGGTATAGCCTTATCAAATAAGAATGAATTTATTTAGTATACAGAGAAAATAGAGTGTTGAGTGGAAAATTAGCTGGGTATGGTGGCATGTGCCTGTAATCCCAGCTACTTGGGAGGCTGAGGCAGGAGAAACACTTGAACCTAGGAGGCGGAAACTGCAGTGAGCCAAGATTGTGCCACTGTATTCCAGCCTGGCAACAGAGTGAAACACCCTCTTTAACAAAAACAAAGACAAAACAAAAGCCTTGTGTGGAGTGTGTTGTTGGGGAGGATATGGAGAACTCAACAACAAAATCCAGCCAATTAAAGCATAATTCAAAACACAATTTTACACACACACGCGCGCACACACACACACACACACACGAGCTTTGAATCCACTAAAATAAAGAACTAAAACCAAAAAATGGTAAATAATTAAAGTATCAAAACAGGTGGAAATGTAAGTCTTTACAGAGTGAAAATAATCAACAAAATTGGAAAAAAAAAGGGGCATGAATGCATAAGATTACCAATTTCATTTTCAGAGTAGAAAAATAATGTCTAAACTTAA